GAGCTGCCGGGCTTGCCACCTGGGGTGTACCCGGTGAAGCCTCTGCAGGCCGGTTGGCGGCTCGACAAAGGAAGGAAGAGAAGTTCCCAAATCACTCGCTGCCAATTGCCGTTGTTACCGGCGTACGCCTGCACGGCCAACGCCGCGCAAGGCGGCAACTGGTCGAAGGCTATCACCGACATCAACGTCTCCGGGAACATGTCCAAGCAAGGAGCCTATGTGTCCCTCTCTCGTGTTCGCCGCAGCCAGGATCTGTGGATTTTTCGCAAGTTCCCCAGACATGTGTTCTGCGGCGGTGGACAGGTCGGGCCCGAACTGTTGCTGAAGCGATTGCGTGGGGAGGCGATTGCGTGGGAGCAGGTTGCCGAGAAACTCCGCGGGCGTCCGCAGCGCTGCGAGAAGAACAGCCCCCAAGTTGTGTGCGCCACCTGTCCAGCCACTGAGTTTACCATCCGTGAGCTCTTGAAAGGCCCCCAGCGGCAGTGCACAGGATGCAGCAATTGCAGACGGTGCCCCACTTGCACAGTAGCAATCCCGCCGGGTACTTCCCGGTGTTTGTGGTGCGCAGGGTATTCCATCTGCCGCTCCTGTGGTCAGGAATTCCTATCCCCGGGAAACTCGCAACACGCGTGGTGTGCTGCCTGCCAGAAGAAACACGGCACGCTGTGGGTGTGCGGGCGCTGCACGTTGGCGAAGCCACTGCGTCACTTCAGCCATCAACGAGACGGTATGCTCCCACGACCCTGCAAATGACACGACGTCGTCGTTGCGATGCATGTGTCCAGGAGGAACGGAGACGAGACCATGCCAGCCACACAGTCCCAACACAAGAAAGCACACCTGTGCAGCCAGCTGCCCACACAACGCAGCCGCCGGGAGATGCGGCACTTCGCTGTTGCGGCTGTGGTCCCCGCACGGCCAGCGACTTTTCTCTGTCACAGTTGCTTCTTGGGGAGGCGCGGCGGTGCGCGGTCTGCGAGAGCTACTGCGGCAGTAAGCCGCGCAGATGCCCACAACAAGAAGGCCAGCGTATGTGCCAAGCCTGCGGCAAGTGGTATCTTCAGACGAAGAGCTCTCATGCAGAGGTCCTCGCGCACGCTTGTTGCCCGAACTGTGCTTCGCGAGGTTTCCACTACAAGTGCGGGCACTGCTCTCTGCTGAAACAGCGGGAGGCCTTCCAACTCACCCCCAATCTGCAGCGATGCATACAGCGAAGGAAGTGCGATGCGTGTCGCGCTGAATACGACAAAGCCTTCCTCCCTCGTTGCACCCACTGTGGGGAGGAAAAGAGCAAAGCGGCCTTCTCCAGGCTCTCAGCCATCACACTCCGGCATAAAGACAAGCGGGTTTGTGACGAATGCCATGCCAAAGAGCCGCTCTTTCGTTGCACCCAGTGTGAGGAGGAAAAGAGCAGTGTGGAGAGGAACAGAGCAAAGCGGCCTTCTCCAGGCTCTCCGCCCAGACATTCCGTCATACAGAGAGGCGGGTCTGTGACGAATGCCAGGCTAAAGAGCCAAAGCAGCCTTTTCCAATCTAGCGATAGACACGTTCAGACGAGCTGCCAGGAGGATATGTGACGAGTGCAACGCAGAGGAGCGGTGCTACACTTGCGCCAAATGCGGCCAAAGCCAAGTGACGAGCCACTTCGCCTCGCTGTCCCAAGATGCACGGAAGAGAGCGACCAGAAGACTATGCGACACGTGCTGTGCCCCGTCGACACACGGCCGCGCCAAGCGAAGTCTGGCGGAGAACTTGCACACGGACGGGGACGCCGCGAAACGCTCGCGCACTGCCCAGTGCCCGCGAGTTGAAGCACCAACCCCCATCCAGGTGGAAGCTACATCCACCCAAATGGCCTCAAACAAGCGTGCAGCAGAGCTTCCCTTCTTTCAACAACAGACGGGGAGCGAATGTGGACTGACAGCCCTCAACAATGCCCTGCAGGAAGCACGATTCACCACGGAATCCATGCAAGCAGCCGCAGACGCGTATTTGCGCGCCCTGGAAGGAATTGACGAGGACCGAGGCGAGCACATTTCTGACACTGGATGGTACAGCGTCTAGGTGCTGTACACGGCCCTGTTCAGTGCCGGATACACTTTGGATATTGACAACCCCATCAACACCCCTGCAAGCTTGGAGAACTGCATTGGATGCATCCAAAATTGGCAGAATACGCACTGGGTGGCCTATATAATGGTTGGGGAAGAAATTTTTCTCTGTGATTCCTTGAAGCCGCGGCCTGAGAAAATATCCGCAGCCGCGCTGGCAGCTACGCTGCCGCACTGCCCGACGTACGCCATCCGTGCATAGCTGCTCCTGGAAGCCCCCCGGACCACGTCGTCTCGCGCGACGCAGTCGCCAAAGAAAACGCCTGCGAGAAAAAAGACCACGGAAGGGAGCTGTTGGGCTAGCCGTGCGTGGGTGGACCGCGGGTTTTTTGTCCCAGATTGACCATCGGACGTCATCTCTTGCATGAACCCCGTCCTGCGGAGCCCTCCTCCCCATAAAGGATATCATTGCCCAAGAATTTAGACCCAACCCTTCACCACCAAAGCAGGTACCCAAAAAGTCGACTTTGTGGGTACCTCCTAGGTTTACCATTCGACGTCATCTCTTGCATGAACCCCGTAATGCTGAACCCTCGTCCCCATAAATGACCCAACCCAGCACCACCAAAGCAGGTACCCAAAAAGTCGACTTTTTGAGTACCTCCCGATTTACCATCGGACGTCAGCTCTTGCATGAACCCCGTGACGGGCCGCAGGGCGCTGCCCATGGTCTCGGGTACATTCAAGTGCCACAAGTGTCGGCGCCCGGACTTGTGCTGAATCGATCGGTTGCTCCCGGCGACCCCCCATTACCACCAAAGCAGGTACCCCAACAGTCGACTCGGCGCCCGGACTTGTGCTGAATCGATCGGTTTCTCCCGATGACCCAACCCATCATCACCAAAGCAGGTACCCAAAAAGTCGACTTTTTGGGTACCTCCC